GAGAAATTTCTAAAATCATAACATTTTAGTAACATTTATTAACATTTTAGTTTAACATTTTATATAAACCACGCGGAGCGGTTTATATAGCGTAATATAAGGAACCGCTCGACCAATCAGATTGCCGGAAACTCTTTGCTCAGCTCTGAAATTATACTAATATATTTTACAAGTTTCCTCTTTCATACCTTTTGAGGGGTTTGAATTTGATTTAAAACTCTTCATAGCTTCAAGATCTTTTGCTCTTACTGGAAAGTTTTTAACTTTAAGACATCCACCATTTTTAGTTGATAGAGTGTCAAACCATGACGGTTGACGGTCAAAGTAATCTTTGCCTGGTTGGAAGAAAAAAGATAAATGAAAATCAAACAGTGCATGGAAAAAGCTATATCGATTCCAAGTGTCCAACTGTTTTGTCACGTATTAGTATACATTGCTTTCGCTGTGGACTATTGGATGTGTGCAATCGCATAGCAAGTTTCATTCCTCTTACCTTTAGCTGCTTTGGTGGAGAGCTTTAAATTTGATTTAAAATTCTTCATAGCTTCAAGGTCTGGTGCTGTTACTGGAGAGTTATCAACTTTGAGACATCCAAAGTTGTTTGATAGAGTGTCAAACCATGACGGTTGAAGGTCAAAATAGTCTTTGCCTAATTGAAAATAAAAACCAAAAAATTAAAAAAACTAAAGAAATGAAAATCATAGTGCATGGAAGAACATGTTCTCAAACGTTATCAACATTCAAAAGTTTTCAGTTAAAAGTGTCTCTTCTCGTCTTGAGGATGGAATATTATATTTTTAAGATAAATTTTTTGTGAAATGGGGGACGTATTTTAAATCAGACCCGTAAGTTACGATTTCGCCCATGGCCTGAACCGCAACCTTAACCGCTTTTTTTCATCTTTCTGGTCTTTAAAATCACCGATTCATTTTCAGGGAAAGGTGTTGCAGACCCTCGATCTCTCCCCATCTCTATTCCCTTACGAATCCCTGGAGTTCATGAAGACAAGGCAGTCGTACAAACCGCGTGGTCACCACTCGGTTGAGAAGACGCCATCGCCACTCACCATTAAATATTTGTGGTTCACTCTGAGATTCTTCTGTTTTTATTTCATTCTTTATTACACTGAATATAATGCCGCCCTCTAGCTCGTCAATGTTCATCCTCGCCTTTTGTAGCTTTTCGTCCATTGTCGCCATGTGCTTGACAATATCTAAATTATTTCTCCGTTCATTTTGCTGCAGTTGTGACAGTTTTTTCTTTAGATCAGCAATTTCTTTGTCTCTCCCCCAGAGAGTTTCCTTAAGAAAGCCGATCTCCTTCTTCCTAGCTGTTAAAAATATGAAGATTACAAATACTCGAAATAAAAGATGGGTTAATTTTAAGTTTAGAAAGATGAGTCAGATCAGGAAAACATAACACTAACTGAACTGCTCATGAAGGAACGAGAAAGGGGAGAGACA